TCTCTCTCTCTCTCTCTCTCTCTCTCTCTCTCTCTCTCTCTCTCTCTCTCATGCATTTCCTGAACCTTCACTGTATGTCCACATGTAGGGGGTGGGAACCTGCAGGTGGGGCCTGGAGGCCCCCTGGAAGGACAGCCGATCTCCACACCACAGGGATCAGCTCCCCTGGAGGAAATGGCTGCTTGGGAAGGTGGACTCTCTATGGCACTGTATGCCCCGCTGAGGTCTGGAGAGGACAGGGACCTTCGTGGGGCACAATGCCATAGAGAGTCCACCCTCTGATGCATCCATGTTCTCCAGGGGAGCTGATCCCAGTGGCCTGGAGACGAGCTGTCATTCTGGGGGATATTAAAGGATATTGACGGAAAGCGCCTGGAGCAGACTGCCGTGTGTGATGTTATTTCACTGACCTTTGTATTTTCACTACGAAGGGGAAAGTGGTGTTTTTCATTACCATGCACTAAGGTTATTATGGCTTTGACCCTACATTCTCAACAGCACCTTATTCAGCACCCGCAGCACGGGTTGAGGAGGCTCCCGCCTCCCAGGATCCCTGAGAGCCAGTTCCGTGTACTCGTTAAAAGCGGCGGACTTTAATCTGGGAGAACCGGGTTTGATTCCCCACTCCTCCTCCACATGCAGCTGTGGGTGTGACCTTGGGTCAGTCACGAGTTCTCTCAGAGCTGTTCTCTCAAGGACGGTTCTGGAAAGAGCTCTCTCAGCCCCGCCTACCTCAAAGGGTGTCTGTTGTGGGGAGGGGAAGGGAAAGGAGATTGCAAACTGGTCTGAGACTCCGAGTGAAGGGCAGGGTATGAATCCAATCTCCTCCTCCTCCTCTTCTTCTTCTCCTCCTCCTCCTCTTCTACTCCTCCTCCTCTTCTTTTTCTTCTTCTCCTCCTCCTCTCCTCCTCCTCCTTCTCATCTTTTTCTTCTTCTCCTCCTTCTCTTCTTCTTTTTCTCCTTCTCCTCCTCTTCTTCTCCTTCTCCTCTCCTCCTCCTCCTTCTCCTCCTCCTCCTCTTCTTTTTCTTCTTCTTCTCCTTCTCTTCTTCTTTTTCTCCTCCTCTTCTCCTCTTCTTCCTCCTCCTCCTCTTCTTCTCTTCCTCCTCCTCCTTCGTGCCATTCTGAGGTGTCTTGGTTACCTGGCGGTGGCAGCTGCGATTTGGGAAGGCAGGCTAAACCCTGCGAGAGGCCTGGGTGCTCCCCCCTCCCCAATGAGGCCCCCTCAGGCTCACAGTATGGGAAGACTGCCAGTCTTTCTAAACAGTTGGAGGCTGCGTCAGTATATGTAACCCACCTCCGGGGTACCCGACCCCACAAACTGGAGGGTGCTCAGCCCCTTCCGGAGGGCTGCCCGCCTTTCCTCAGCCAGGCCCCTCCGCTTCTGGAGGGCCCAGTCGGCCTTCGGCCTCCTCGCTCGCCTCCGCTTCTCATTTTGCCTGAGTCAAGAGGACTTCTGTATCCTGGGTCCCATCCTGTTTATTTTGATTAGCGTACCGGGGCTTATTTTTAGCTCCCTGAGATGAATGGACAGCGGTGCAGATGTTTCGTTCCCCCCCCCCCCAAAGCTGTGTGTATTTAACCTCGCCCGTTTATTTTTACATTCCACTTCCGCATCCAGATAATCAGGATGTGGTGCCGTCGTGTGGGATAGACTGCAGCGTCTCACTCTCCGGTGGAAATCCCCGGGGCAAAACAGGGCCGTGGAGAAAAACAAGCAGGTGGGGGGGGGGTCAAGTCCTCAGGCTGAGCAAAGCGGCACCCGGAGGGGGGGGCTGCGGCTATTTCAGTCCCTTCTGATCCTTGTCCCACCTCCAGGGCCAAAAGACTGTTCCAGACACAAACACACACACCCCAATCAGCCATGCATATTCTAGGAACCTTGTGCAGTTCCGCAGGGCCTGCAAGACAGAGTTCTTCCGCCAGGCTTATGAGTAGGAGCCGCCGCTGCCACTTACACCACCGCCCATTGTAAAGAGAGACCACCGGGGTGGGTGGGGTAACATCTTCCATCACCCCAGCCTTTCCCACCCCCCGTTACGCAAGATGTTAGGAGTCATCTAGGACAGTAGCCGGAGCTACAGCCAACACAGAGCCACGCACCAAACGGTGCCTACCGGAGGAAGCCATTCGAAAGGAAAAAAGACCGGCTCCAGAAGGGCACCAGGACGCCGATACCCGAAGCCGCGGAAAGGAAGCTGGAGAACAACTAGCCTGGGTGCTGGTAGGCAGACACTACCCCAGAAACAATGTGGCCCATAAATCTCAATAAATAAATAAATAAATAAATAAATATGTGCATCCGTTGAAATGATTTTAAGCTGTTTTAAGTTGTTTTAATTCTGTATTTTGTACCATGTAATATGTATCCTGAAAGCACTTGGTGCCTTATGTAAGCCGCCCTTTACCCGCTCGCGGGGAGGGCGAGGTATAAATGTCATAAAATAAATAAATAAATAGGGCTTGATGTAGCTGCCTTCTATTGCATCAGGACCCCACCCCCGGGTCCATCAAGGTCAGTATTGTCTGCTCAGACTGGCAGCAGCTCTCCAGGGTCTCAGGGGCAGAGGTCTTTCACACCTCCTGCTACCTGGTCTTTTTCCACTGGAGATGCTCAGGGTGCCTGGACACAGACTTTACTGCAGCCGTTTGTGGAGGAGGAGGAGGAGATTGGATTCATACCCGGCCCTTCACTCGGAGTCTCAGAGTGGCTTACAATCTCCTTTCCCTTCCCCCTCCCCACAAGAGGCCCCCTGGGAGGTAGGCGGGGCTGAGAGAGCTCTTTCGAGGACTGCCCTTTCAAGGACAGCCCTTATCAGAACCACAGCTTGGCCGAGGTCATCCAGCAGGTACAAGTGGAGGAGGAGCAGGGAATCAAACCCGGCTCTCCCAGATTAGAGTCCGCCTGTGCACCAAACTGGGTCTCACTGACCAACCCGACCCTTCCAAACAGAAGTCTGATGAAGGTCAACACTCTCTGCTTGTCATACTGAAATATTTCTTTCAATTCATAGGCCTCATTTCTGGGTGTTCTGCCAGGGAGGGGCCCTTGTTTAAGCTACTCGTTGCCCATACTAAAGTCTCCAGGTCAAGGGGTGGGATAGGCTTCCTGTAAGTATACAAGGCCGTGTTTTTATTTTTAATTTTTCTTCCCTCCCCTCCCCATGCCTACAATCTTACTGGGGAGTCAGGCCAAAACGAGGGGGATGGAAAAGAAGAGAAGAAGAGGAGAGATTGGATTTATACCCCGCCCTTCACTACCCAATGGTGTCTCAGAGCGGCTGACAAACTCCTTTCTCTTCACCTCCCCACAACAGACACCCTGAGAGAGCTCTTGACAGAAAGTGCTCTTTTTCAAGGACAGCTCTTATCTGAACTATGGCTTGCCCGAGGTCATCCAGCAGCCGCAAGTGGAGGAGCGGGGAATCAAACCCGGTCCTCCCAGATTAGAGTCCGCGCACTTCGCCACAACACCAAAACCTGGCCTTGTTTCACCTGAGCTGGAAGCTGCAGTTCCACCTCCCAGCCCTCTGGTGTGCTGGAGCGGCAGACCAGCAGAGAACAACCCAGCACCTCCTTCCTCCAGAACTTGTCACTAGAGCGCCTGGATCCAGCCCGTGATGCTTAGTAATATGGCAAAGCCATGGCACAGCACCTCCTGCAGGTTTTGCTTCTGGCACAGGAATGCAGGTGAGGAGGTGCAGTTCGTACGGCCAGCAGCAGACCAGACTTGACTGTGCCCACCTGCTGTGTGCCTCTCTGCCCTTCCTTGGGGGAAAAAACCCAAAACCCTACCTGTTGTGGTTTGTAGATGCTGCGAGTGGCTGCATACCTCATCCTGGCTGCGACCCTCTTCCAGCGGCAATCTGGCCCTTCTTTTCACGCCGATGCATTGCAGCAGGTAAGCAGTCGGCCCGGAATGTGGTGGGAACAGGTCGAAATGACAAAACTCACCGTGTGGTGCCTTTTCCCTGTCATTCTCCCAGGACAAATCCCTTCTTTGGAAACTGCCCTCTAGTGGCCAGCTTTATATTTCACACTATTTTAAAGCCCCTGCTGTCACAAGGCCCCTGGGGATGAAATGACAAGAGTGATCACCAACCAAATAGGGTTTATAATATAATAAATTTAGGGGAGTGATCTAAATCAAAAAGACATTCGGCTTTTCTGCATTCTCGTTTTACTTGCTGGCAGTGTTCCCTCTAAGCTGAGTCAGTGTGAGCTAGCTTACAGTTTTTGAGCCTCCGGCTCACACATTTTTTGTCTTCGCTCAGGAAGGAGGGCTCCAGAGCAAACTAATTTATGCTGTAGCCAAATCGCTTGCTCACAACTTTCATGCCAGTAAGCTCACAAAGTAGAATTTTTGCTCACAAGACTCCACGGCTTAGAGGGAGTATTGCTTGCTGGTATGTTCCTGTTTCTTCCGGTGTTTCCCCCACCCACCCCACCCGTTCTGCATGTTTTTAGCTCCCTCTAGTGGTCAATTCAATATCACAGAGGTTTATTTCCAGCATCTCTCCCTGCAGATTTAAAGTGCAGGGTTTTGCAGCACACATACATCTGTATGATATTGAACTGCCCACTAGAAGGAGCGACGAATTAGCCCCATCTGTCGCCATTGTCTTGATGCTCCACCATGGCAAAGACGTCTGTCCCACAGGATCTTGAACCAAAGCCGTGCTCTGCAATGCTCAGGGAGGGGGGAGGCCAGCCCAGCACCTTGCCAACCCTTCTCTCTTTCCTTGGCAGCCCTTCGGGTCTCCCCTCGTCTTGGGCAGGGGCCCACCCTCTCCCTCCAGCGAAGAGAAGTCGGCCGCTGACCTGGCCACGAAGCTCCTGCTCCTGGACGAACTGGTATCCCTCGAGAACGACGTCACGGAGACCAAGAAGAAGCGCAGTTTCCCGGGGTTCGGCTCCCCCCTCGACAGGCTTTCGACGGCCTCCCTGGATCTGAAAGCCAAGCAGAGGTGAGCCGTCCCCAGAGGGTCGCTGCTAAGTCACTCTCCACACACACACTATTGGCAGCAGGGGTCATTTCATAGAAAAAGAGGTGCAGGAGCTCATTAGCATAACTTATTAGCATAACTTATTTGCATATGCCACACCCCTTGACATCACTGGAAGTGTGTCAGAAGGCAACACCCACCGCTCAGGCTCCACCGGACTGTTTTGGATTGCTAGCTATTGGAGGGGTGGGAGAATGTGCAGATCTGCCCTCACAGAGGAGGGAGAGCTTGTACCTGAAGGCGGAGCAGGGGCTCTGCAACCTGTCTGGCTTCTTCTTGCTCCTTGTGGCCTGACTGAGGGCTGCTGGGAGCAGGGGCTTCTTCTGGCTCTGGTTGAAGGCTGCTGGGAGCAGGGGGTGGGGCTTGTTGCATGTGCCCGCCCCCTGGGCTCTTTATTGCCAGAGCTCCACTCCTGTGCGCTTCTGCAGGAAATGACCCCTGATTGGCAGTGAAGTGTTTATTAGAGATATGCTTGCAATAGGTTCAAGAGCTTTTGTCATGACTGAAGAAAACCATGGGAAATTACAAATTATAGGTAAAAGACGTAACATTCCACATTCCCCCACGTCTCACCTACTCCTGCCGTTTCTATGGCAACATGGGCAGATATACGATGCCCTCTCCAACCTCGGCAATGCTGCGAGATACTCCAAGGTCAGTCTCACGGGAACCAACACTTGGGGCGCAGCTTCAGGAAAGGTAGGCCTCTACTCCCATGCACTCCAACAACATGCAACTGTTGGATCCCCAAGCATCGAGAATAAATCCACGTTTTCAAGAAAAGCAAAATTTATTTCAAAGCATTGAAGACATACTCAAACACGTTCTTTGTTAGAACTGGGGATACACAGCAGACATCCTGGAATGTGAAGTTAAATGGGCCTTAGAAAGCATTGCTAACAACAAAGCTAGTGGAGGTGATGGTATTCCAGCTGAGCTATTCAAAGTCTTAGAAGATGATGCTGTTAAAGTTCTGCACTCCATTTGCCAGCAAATTTGGAAAACGCAACAGTGGCCACAGGATTGGAAAAGGTCAGTATACATTCCAATCCCAAAGAAGGGCAATGCCAAGGAATGTTCAAACTATCGCACAATTGCACTCATATCACACGCTAGCAAGGTCATGCTCAAGATCCTACAAGCTAGGCTTCAACAGTACGTGGATAGAGAACTACCAGAAGTACAAGCTGGGTTTCGAAGAGGTAGAGGAACTAGAGATCAAATTGCCAACATTCGCTGGATTATGGAGAAAGCAAGAGAGTACCAGAAAAATATCTACTTCTGCTTCATTGACTATGCTAAAGCCTTTGACTGTGTGGATCACAACAAACTATGGCAGGGCCTTAAAGAGATGGGAGTACCAGACCACCTCACATGTCTCTTGAGAAACCTGTATAAGGGCCAAGAAGCGACAGTTAGAACCGGATATGGAACAACTGATTGGTTCAGCATAGGAAAAGGAGTACGACAAGGATGTATATTGTCACCTTGCTTATTTAATATATATGCAGAGTACATCATGCGAAATGCTGGCCTGGATGAATCACAAGCGGGAATTAAGATTGCTGGGGAAAAGATCAACAACCTCAGATATGCAGATGATACCACTCTAATGGCTGAAAGTGAAAAGGATCTAAAGAGCCTCTTGCTCAGAGTAAAAGAGGAGAGCGCAAAAGTGGGCTTGAAGCTCAACATCAAAAAAACTAAGATCATGGCATCCGGCCCCATCACTCCTTGGCAAATAGAAGGGGAAGCTGTGGAAGTAGTGACAGACTTCACGTTCCTGGGATCCCAGATCACCGCAGACTGTGACTGCAGCCATGAAATTAAAAGACGCCTGCTCCTTGGGAGGAAAGCGATGGCGAACCTAAACAGCATGATAAAAAGTAGAGACATCACCCTGCCAACAAAAGTCCACATGGTCAAAGCAATGGTATTCTCAGTAGTCATGTATGGCTGCGAGAGTTGGACTATAAGGAAGGCCGAGCGCCGAAGAATAGATTCTTTTGAACTATGGTGCTGGAGAAGACTCTTGAGAGTCCCTTGGACTGCAAAAAGATCAAATCAGTCAATCCTAAAAGAAATCAACCCTGACTGTTCCCTGGAAGGCCAGATAATGAAACTGAAGCTCAAATACTTTGGCCACCAAATGAGAAGGGAGCACTCACTGGAGAAGACCCTGATGCTGGGAAAGATTGAAGGTCAAAGAAGACGGAGATGGCAAAGGATGAGATGGTTAGACAATGTCATCGATGCAACGAACATGAGCCAACTTCAGAGGATGGCGGAAGACAGGAGGGCCTGGCGGGAGATGATCCATGGGGTCGCGAAGAGTCGGACTCGACTGTGCGACTGAACAACAACAACTCCAACCTCGACAATGCAGAGAGATACTCCAAGGTCAGTCTCATGGGAACCTACACTTGGGGTGCAGCTTCAGGAAAGATAGGCCTCAACTCCCATGCACTCCAACAACACAAACCCCCCCCCCAGGAATTCAACATGACAAGCGAAGGTGAAGGAAAACAGGACTTAGAGAAATCGAAAGTTAAGCCTGAGCTTGACAGCTGCAGACATCCAGCTCTCCTCACGGGGTTATTCCTCCTGCGGATGGGGAGGGTGGAGGGGAGTTGGGAGGAGGGGGAGAGGAGGCAGTGAGGGGATTCGGAACGATTCCCCTTTAGCCCCCAAAGGTGACCTTGGCCCACTCCGTCTCTGAGCCTGGCCCGCCTTGCAGGGTTGGTGTGAAGGCAGAATGCTACTTTGAGGTCTTTGGTGATGGACATAAGATCACCTCCTCATGAGGTGAGGTTCAGAAATCTGGACTCCAGGCATGCTGCCGGTCCCGCCTCCCTGCCTTCTGTCCGCCTGGGATTTTCTTGCACGGAGGGGGCTCACCCATCTTGATGTGACCCTCCAGATGCCTACAGCTTGAAAGAATGGGACCAGCAGGCCTATAGAGAAAAGTCACCTAGCTTCTGGTTGAAAACCTCCAGAGAAGGAGAGCCCACCACCTCCCAAGGAAGCCTGTTCCACTGAGGAACCGCTATTGCCCACAACAGTGGATTGGTTGGAGAAGAGGTTGGAACTTGCGACGATGGCCAAACTTCATTGATTAAAGGAAAGACAATAAGTTCGTTTATTGCTGATTGGAAAGCCCTTTTTGCATGAAATAGATAACAGTGACTTGATGATTTGTGGGTTTAAAGAAAAAGGAATTTAGGTAATGGGGAGAAAGAGAGTTTCTTTCTTTCTTTCTTTCTTTTTTGTATATGTAGACTAAGAGAAAAATTTGCCTTGATATATTTGTCTTGGGGAACATCAGAATCCTTCTTTTCTTTCAATTTATGTGGGAGTTTTTTCCTGTTCTGTATTTTCTCTATTTTTTTCTGTTCTGTAATTCCTTTGTTATTGATAATTTTTTCTTTCTTTCAATAAAAATTAAAATATTTTAAAAGACGTATACAGAAGGAAGGGTTCCAGGGGTCATCTAGTCCAACCCCCTGCATGATGCAGGAAATTCACAGCTACCTCTCCCCCACTTCCCAAGTGCCCTGTGCTCTATGCCGAGAGAGAGAGAGAGAGAGACAGAGAGAGAGAGAGAGACAGAGAGAGACAGAGAGAGAGACAGACAGAGAGACAGAGAAGAGAGAGAGAGACACAAAGACAGAGACCCAATGTCAGCCTGTCAGCTTCGAGTGGAGATTTGAATCTGTGTCTTCCCTGTTGTAATCCAATACTACTACCCCACAAGAGTAGACACACACCACAACTGATGAAGAATGCTCCAATGCTTGATTTGCATGACAACATAATTTGCATGCTGTGAATTGTGCAAACTGATAACAGGCGAAATAGATTTGGGGGAACGGCCTGCCTATCTAAATGGACTCGGTAAATCGCTCATTTCGCTGGAAGCGGAGACATTGCTATAGCTGGGACAGCCACTAGAGGGTGCTTTCCCCTTACCAAAGGCCCGGCTGGGTTCCTGTTGGCTTTGCATTGTGCAGTCCTTCCCCAGTGTAAACTTTTGTTTTGTCAATTTTTGTTGTCAGATGCCTAAAGGAGTGTGCCTGTGCACATAAAAGCTTATACCCAGAAGTAAACTTTGTGGGTCATAAAGGTGCCACTGGACTCAAAAATCTTCCCCATGTGTGTAGCAGTATCTGCAGACTGAGAAATCGGTTCATGCATCTGATGAAATAGATTCTTATCATGAAAGCTGAAACGACAATGCATGTTGTTCGTTATAGTGGCACAAGATTCCTTTTTCGTTTTGCCACAGTAGTTTAACACGGCTGCCCCTCTAGGATATGTCTTTTCCAGTTACTCAGTTGTTAGAGCAAAGCTCTAATTTAGCCTGAGACTTTCTTTTCAGCATGGGCTGAGTTCTGGAAGAGAAATACTTCTGGGCATGCACAGAGTGCCTCTCCCTCAACATTAAAAAAACCCCTGCAGTCTCCTTTCTTCCCACAAACTTTAATAACTTCGCTGCATACTTAAAGATGCAGAGAATAATCGTTTTTTAAACCCTCTGTCAAAATGAGGACAGGATAATTTCGTGCCCTGTAACCTTTCATAAGAACAAAATAAGAGGCTTGTTATATCACACCAGAAGTTCCTCTGGTCCAGTGTCCTATTTCCCACACTAGCTAGCCAGTTCTGGGAATCCCCTCAGCAGGGAATAAAGGCAACAGCCACCCCAAATAGCTGCCCCCCCCAAAAAAACCTGGCAGGTTCTGTTTAGTCTGCATAGCTGATGGGCACTTGTGGACTTTTCCACATCCAGGAAATCTGTCTAATCTCCTTCAAAAGTCTTCTAGACCGGCAGATGTCCCTTCATAGTATTTTATTCCATGAATTAATTCTGCAGAAGGTGATTTAAACTGAAAATTTTAAATTGAAGCTGCCATCTCACGTGGCCCGGGTTAGGAAACCTCTGTATGAGGATAAATAGTGTGCTCTGTTTTAATTTATGTTGTTTTAAATTGTCTTAATTGTTTATGTTTATATTATATGTTTGAAATTTTCAATGTTCCCTCTTAGCTGTGGAGTCCTGTGAGCAAAAATTCTACTTTGTGAGTTCCTGGCATTACAGTTGTGAGCGAGTGATTTGCCTACTGCATAAATCAGTTTGCTCTGGAGCCATCCTTCCTGAGCGAAGACAAAAGTGTGTGAGCCACAAGCTAAAAAACTGTGAGCTAGCTCACACTAACCCAGCTTAGAGGGAACAGATCCGCCGTGAGCCCGCTTGCAGGGAGAGTGGAATATAAATCTGAATAATACAATAAATAAACAAAAATAATAAAAGAGGGTGTTCAGCTGAGGCATCCACGATTCCACATTTATAACCTCCAGTACAGATCGCAATGCATGGGGGGGCGGGGGGGGGATCACCCTTTCACTACTTGGAAAACGTTACCTTGACATGGAGGCTTAACTTTAGCTTGACACAGTCCGGCAGGCAGGGAATTTTACTGAGTCGTCACAACTACCGATGATTCTTCTTCTTCTTCCCCTCCTGCAGGAAAGTGGCGGAGGTGCCCAAGCGGCGGTTTGGGATTCCTCTAGACCGGATCGGGATGAACCGTTTGAGTAACTCCAGGGGTTAGTGGAGGCAGGTAAGATCCAGTCACCCAAAGCCTGCGTGGATCTGAAGAAACCGAGTCTGCCTTTGCTCGTAGGCGGGTGCTGAACAATAGAGCTGATCTGCAGGATGGAAACAAAACGGCACAGAAAAGACAGTGGGGTGGTCTTCCTTTGGAGTAGGAGGGGAAAGATTGAAGGTCAAAGACGACGGGGACGGCAAAGGATGAGATGGTTAGACAGTGTCATAGATGCAACGAACATGAAGTTGAGCAAACTTCAGAGAACGGCGGAAGACAGGAGGGCCTGGCGGGATCTGGTCCATGGGGTCGCGGGAGATCTGGTGGCTTTTGGTAACACCCACGTTCATTTCTTTTGTTATATCTACAATCGTTAATCTCTTTAGCCACAGTTTCAGTTTTCTGAGTTTTTTCTCTCTTAGATTTGTTTCCCTTTCAGTATGTAGTGCAACTGTATGCCACACTCATAGGAGTCTTCAAGACAACTGCCTATTCAGGATTCAGGAGCCAGTTTGGTGTCGTGGTTAAGTGCGTGGACTCTAATCTGGGAGAACCGGGTTTGATTCCCCACTCCTCTACTTTCTGCTGCTGGATGACCTTGGGCAAGCCGTAGTTCTTTCAGAGCCGTTCTTCAAAAAGAAGAAGAAGAGATTGGATTTATACCCCCACCCTTCACTACCTGAAGGAGTCTCAGAGCGGCTGACAAACTCCTTTCCCTTCCCCTCCCCACGACAGACACCCTGTGACCAGTGTTCCCTCTAAGCTGAGTTAGTGTGAGCTAGCTCACGGTTTTTTAGCCTCTGGCTCACACATTTTTGTCTCAGCTCAGGAAGGATGGGTCCAGAGATAACTAACTTATGCAGCAGCCCAATCGCTCGCTCACAACTTTAACGCCAGTCACTCACAAAGTAGAATTTTTGCTCACAAGACTCCACAGCTTAGAGGGAACATTGCCTGTGACGTAGGTGGGGCCGAGAGAGCTCTGACAGAAACTGCTCTTTTTCAAGAACAGCTCTGACCAGAACTATGGCTTGTTTCTGTCAGAGCTCTCTCAGCCCCACCTGCCGCTCAGGGTGTCTATTGTGGGGAAGGGGAAAGGGAAGGAGATTGTGAGCCACCCTGAGACTCCCAGTGAAGGGCGGGGTATAAATCCCACCTCCTCCTCCCATTCCCCCTCCTCCTGCTCCTCCTCCTCTTCTTCTTAAAATATACAACACAGACATCCCATTACCACAGACTAATGCCATCTAATGCTGTCAGACAGATCCATAACCAGAATCCAGGGAAATCACTGCTCAGGCAACCAATGCTCCCTCTAAGCCGTGGATAGGAGGAGGGAGTTTGTAAGCCACCGAGACTCCCAGTGAAGGGCGGGGTATAAATCCAATCTCCTCCTCCCATTACCCCCCCTCCTCTTCTTCTTAAAATATACAACGCAGACATTACCACAGACTAATGCCATCTAATGTTGTCAGACAGATCCATAACCAGAATCCAGGGAAATCTCTGCTCAGGCAACCAATGCTCCCTCTAAGCCGTGGAGTCCAAGGCCTCCTCAAAGAAGAAAGTCTTCCATTTGTGCTCGGAGGATGGGAGGGGCAGCACACATTTCGCGGGGGGGGTGTCCCCCAATTGCACAAGAATGGGGCAGCAGCTAGAAAAGCCAGCTACTGTCAGTCAAGGAGGGAGGCGCTGTCCATTGACTGGAGAGAAGAGAAGAAGGATTGGATTTATCCCCCACCCTTCACTACCCGAAGGAGCCGCAGAGCAGCTTACAAACTCCTTTCCCTTCCCCTCTCCACAACAGACACCCCCTGTGGGGTAGGTGGGGCTGAGAGAGCTCTTGACAGAAACTGCTCTTTTTCAAGGACAGCTCTTGTCAGAACTATGGCTTGCCCAAGGTCATCCAGCCAGGTGCAAGTGGAAAAAGAAGAAGAAGAGATTGGATTAATACCCCGCCCTTCACTACCCAAAGGTGTCTCAGAGTGGCTCACAAACTCCCTTCCCTTCGCCTCCCCACAACAGACACCCTGTGAGGTGGGTGGGGCTGAGAGAACTCTTGACAGAAACTGCTATTTTTCAAGAACAGCTGTGCCAGAGTTATGGCTTGCCCAAGGTCACCCAGCCAGGTGCGAGTGGAGGAGTGGGGAATCAAACCCGGTTCTCCCAGATTAGAGTCCGCGCCCTTAACCACGACACCAAACTGGCTCTCTGCTGGGGGTGGTATTTCTGGATGGGAGGGTTGCCAGTTCTGGGCTGAGGAACTCCTGGAGACCCTCAAAAGCGGCCGTTTTCTCCCGGGGAACTGGTCTGGAGATGGGTTTTGGTTTGAGAGCTCCAGGCCCTGGCTGGAGGCTGGCAACTCTGTGCTGAAAAGCTCTTAAAGAGGTCCCCAAGACAAACACGGTTCTCTGCCATCAGACGTGAATCCAGGTTCAGTTGGCATTGTCACAGGGATGCCAGTTTCCAGGTGGGACCTGGAGACACACCAGAATGACAGCTCATCTCCAGGCTACGGAGATCAGTTCCCCCAGAGAAAAATGGGTGCTTTGGAGGGTGGACTCTTGGGCACTGTACCCCACGGAGGGCCCTGTCCTCTCCAGGCTCTGCCCCGAAATATCCAGGAGTTTCCCAACCCGGATCTGGCCACCCTACCCACCCACCCCCCAAGTACCAAGTAAAGGTAAAGGTCTCCCTTGATCGAAAGCCAGTCGAGTGCGACTCTAGGGTTGCAGTGCTCATCTCTGATCTGAGATTTTATCCATCACTACAAAGTCCCATACCTTTAAAAAACCATCGCTTAATTGTTGGGATCTCATCTGTCTTCCATTTCTGGGGTGTAATAAGAATTTATTGCACAGAACACTGTTACCTTCCCACCGAAGTGGTACCTATTTATCTGCTTGCAATTTCTTGCTTTCGAACTGCTAGGTTGGCAGGAGCTGGAACTAGAGACGGGAGCTCACTCCGTCATGCAGCACACTTGGGTCTCGAACTGCTGAACTACCGACATTCCACAGCCTGCAGTTCAGCATCTTAACTACTTGAGCCACCGCAGTACCAGGACCCGAATGCAATTGCAGTGCAGCCCGCCCTACTGTTTTCCATCGCGCTTTCCAGGGAGATGTGACGGAGCTTTCTGAACTGTGACTGAGTGGGATTGAAGATCTAGATATTAGTATTTAGGGGGATTGCCCAGTCGGTCTGCGTACCCACTATACCAACTTAATTACGTATTTTATATTATTATATTCTTCTTGTGTGTAACTCTGCCATATGATCAAGGGTCATTTCGAGCCGGAACGCGCAGGAATGGTGTTCCGGGAGTAACAAGCCCGGCCTGGCCCCCCGACTTCCTGCTAAGGCGCCCATCCTTCAAGCATTTTCTTCTGTCAGTAAAATGTCGGGGGAGAGAGCATGTCCGGCCTGGCAGCAGCCACCGTGCAACTTGCATAACTCACGCAGGCCCAGCTGCTTGCGACTGCTCAACAGCCGCCGCCCCATGAAGTGTTGTGTAGTGGTTAGTGTTCCTGACAAGGATTTGGGAGACCCAGGTTTGAATCTGAGTTGGGAAATACCTGGGGATTTTTGGGGTGGAGCCTGAGCGGTGGGTGTTGCCTCCTGACTCACTTCCGGTGATGTCAGGGGGCGTGGCCTATGCAAATAAGGCATGCTAATGAGTTGTGCTAATGAGCTCCTGCACCTCTTTTTCTACAAAATGACCCCTGCATATGATAAATAAAACAATAACACCCCCAATCCTCCACCGGTGGCCAAGGGGGCTGGGGACCGTACGGCAAATACATGGGGTCACTTAGGAGTCGTCCCACCCCCCCGGCCACTTCTGCTCATGCATTTCTAGACAGCAAATTCAGGTTCCTGTTAACAGGCCATGACTTTTCTTTCTGCTGCAGGTCGGCCTGACGTTTTCAAGTCCTCTTCCAGAACACCCTCCTGACCTTTCCAGACCACGATTCTGCGAGACCCACCCCCCCAGTCCTGGACTAATGACTTTGGAATGAAAGAACTGACCTTCTGAAACACGTACCCCCTCCTCTGTTATCTTGTACAAACGAGAGCGGGTGCAGTCCGCTGGATCGGGACCTTCCTTCACCGACGCTCTGTCCTGCTGGTAAAAAGGCAACAGAAAGTGAGAGTGTGTAGATATACGTGTGCTGCATGCCGTTTTGTTCAAGACATGTGGGACTTTGTCAGCAAAGGGAGGGCAGGTTGAATTCTCTATCTCCTGGTGGTTTACCTCCCAGTTTGCAGGTCTTTGTGTCACTCTTCCCAAGTGGATGCGGCTCTGGGAATGCTTCCCCATGGCCGTGCGGGCTACACTGCAGGGTGGGTGCGAGGTAGAGTTGCCAACCTCCAGATGGTAAGTCATACAAAAGATACCAGCCATAAATAATGAAAAAGATATTCATCAACCACTGAGTATAACAATTGAAAGCTATATAGTTTTTCAAAAATGCAATATAGGAGTCAGAAACTCAGAAGTACACAGTCCAAACACATCACTGTAATTGGTCTTCTGTACATCAAGGATGAAAAAGATGCTGTGTGTTATTGAACATCGAAGCTGGGCATTTTGGTGTTCCACTTTTGAGGAAGCCAGGCGATACGGCAACTTAAAGCAGGCAGGGCTGCGAAGCGATACACCAGCGGCGAGACGAGGATTTTGCAAAGAGGAATCATAAACATCCCTATTTGGACTTTTCACTTTTTGTGGAATTTGACTTGGACTGTTTCTGAAGGTGGATGAATAGGACTATTTTTTGTATTTGGGCCGCGTACTTTTGCGTTTCTGGCTACTATGCTTTTGAAAAACGACTCTCTTTATACAGGTTTAGAGTATTATACACATTGACTGCTGAATATATTTTTCGTCACTTATGCACGGTTTGAGCTTTTGCCTCTTTTGCATTACTTGCTCCCTTCCGTCCATCTCTGCTGTCTGGGAGTCTCTAGGTGGCGGCTGGAGATTTCTCGCTACGACAGCCGGTCT